TTGCCACACTTTTTATTGTTTTGTTTAATTGCAAACAAGTGGGCGTTGGGTTAGGTTGTTGTTAGTTGGTGGTGGTGGTGGTGGTTACTGTAGTGTTGTGGTGGTGCTGCACTTGAAAATTGTAACAAAATAAAAAAAAATAAAAATGATAAATGATTATGCGCACTTAACCCCTTGTCGTCCCGCACAGCTGTTGGGTTTTCCAACGCCGATGCGTAACACAACTACAACAGCAAGAAAAAAAGAAAGATGAACAATAAATAACAACAAAAAATCAAAGCCAAGCCGGCGAGCCACAATTGTCAGTGGTTGTCGTTTGGTGGTGCCTGGCTGTGGCTTGGCCTGGGCGCACTTACAGCCACGAAAATGTAATAAAAACGTGCGTCTGCCCTGACTTCATGTAAATCATGTCAATCGTCGAGTGGCGCAAAATATTTTGTAGCCACGCCAAATGAAGCGTAGACAACAGCAGCAGCAGCAGCAGGAGCAGCCTCAGCAGCAGCAGCAGTATCCACTCACAAATGAGCATCCTGGCTAACACACATACACACACAGGCAGACGCAGATGCACACACGGACATTTGGCTGCTGATCGCAATCACCTGAAGGTAGCCAAAGGCAGCTGGAGGCACCATGCCTCATACCCCATGCCTCATGCTGCATGCCCCATGTGCGGGGCGTCTCTGGCGTGAACGTGCAAACATGTTGCACATGAGAGAAGCTGCCGCTAAAGTACTTGTACTTGTCATATTGTTATGGATTTATGGCAACACGAACAGCGCCATAAAAATGACATATGCACGTGCATGGATTTTGGGCAGCAGTTGCAAATGCCACCCTCCTGCCCGCGCCCTGTCGCCCGGCCTACCCGCCGATTGGCCAGGCGAGCACGCGCAGTTCCCTTCCTGTTGTCAGCTTCGATTACAGCGCAACCCTTCCTCGACCTATCGCTAATTAATCGCCTTTGTTCGTGTTATAATTTCATGCGTATGCGAAGCATGTTTGCCTTACTGATTTGCTTCCACATGGATATAGACTTTAGGGGCGGCTCTTCACTGCGGCCGGGCGAAGGGCGTTAAATGAGGCATGCACTGATCGTCCTGATGAACTGATAGACTCTGCTCGCCTGCAACATGTGCGGAGTTCACAGCGACAGCGACAAGTGCGGGGCAGAACAAATGAAGAGAACAAATGATGAGCACAGTTGCTGAATCAGGTGATTGTGATGGATGATGATGTCTACAGGATTACCATTAGGGTGGGTCATATCTAGGGCAAGCTGAAAAATAGGTTAAATATTCATATGAAAACTTACTTATCTATCTATATCTATATCTATATCTATATCTATATCTATATCTATATCTATATCTATATCTATATCTATATCTATATCTATATCTATATCTATATCTATATCTATATCTATATCTATATCTATATCTATATCTATATCTATATCTATATCTATATCTATATCTATATCTATATCTATATCTATATCTATATCTATATCTATATCTATCAGTTATACTTCAATATTTATGTTACTTCTTTATTTATTTATATTTGTAAATGTTTTCTTGATTTATATTTACTTTACTGCTTGTCAAGAAACCACACAAAGTACTTACCGCATTGGTAAAATATGGTGCATAAATATGTAAGACCGACCGACGGCTATAAAAAGGTTCATAAACAACTAACCTCTGGCAATGTTTTTCTTTTAAAGGCCTTCCAGCTGTACCCTGACCCGCCCTCTGCTGCCTACCATCTTAACCACACAGTTAAACGCCCGCCATCGCCACCGCAGAGTCGGAAGCAGCAAGCAAGAAGTCACTGCAATCAATGCTCGATAATGGGATATCCTGTAATGCGACGTTTCCCTGCAATCTCACTCAATATTCACATTGTGTGTCTTGGTTCAATATGCCCTCTATGGTAAGTGTACAGGGTAGTGCAGGCAGTGCAGCCGCCAAGCACTTGAAAAATCTGTCATAAAATTTGAGTGGTGCAAAACCACCAACTGGTTGGAAATTGGCAACATATTTGACTGTTTGCCTAATGAGCCCAGCCCAAACGGGGGTTGCAGCAAAAGTTGTTCTCGCTATCTCTACATGTGCGTGGGGTAGGGTGGTTGTGGGTTGTCGGTTGTTGGTTGTTGTTGTGGCATGCTGCCCAAAATTTGTTGGACGCCTTTAATTGCGTGCAGCCTCTGTGGCTTNATCTATATCTATATCTATATCTATATCTATATCTATATCTATATCTATATCTATATCTATATCTATATCTATCAGTTATACTTCAATATTTATGTTACTTCTTTATTTATTTATATTTGTAAATGTTTTCTTGATTTATATTTACTTTACTGCTTGTCAAGAAACCACACAAAGTACTTACCGCATTGGTAAAATATGGTGCATAAATATGTAAGACCGACCGACGGCTATAAAAAGGTTCATAAACAACTAACCTCTGGCAATGTTTTTCTTTTAAAGGCCTTCCAGCTGTACCCTGACCCGCCCTCTGCTGCCTACCATCTTAACCACACAGTTAAACGCCCGCCATCGCCACCGCAGAGTCGGAAGCAGCAAGCAAGAAGTCACTGCAATCAATGCTCGATAATGGGATATCCTGTAATGCGACGTTTCCCTGCAATCTCACTCAATATTCACATTGTGTGTCTTGGTTCAATATGCCCTCTATGGTAAGTGTACAGGGTAGTGCAGGCAGTGCAGCCGCCAAGCACTTGAAAAATCTGTCATAAAATTTGAGTGGTGCAAAACCACCAACTGGTTGGAAATTGGCAACATATTTGACTGTTTGCCTAATGAGCCCAGCCCAAACGGGGGTTGCAGCAAAAGTTGTTCTCGCTATCTCTACATGTGCGTGGGGTAGGGTGGTTGTGGGTTGTCGGTTGTTGGTTGTTGTTGTGGCATGCTGCCCAAAATTTGTTGGACGCCTTTAATTGCGTGCAGCCTCTGTGGCTTTGATTACTCAATATGTTTGATTTTTGGGATTTATGGCGTGTGCTGCAAAATGCTTCGAGTGCCACTTGTGCAGCTGTCAGTGGTTGCGGAAAAACAGTGCATGTGCTCACAAAACAGACAGAGATCTAAAATATATATGTATATATACATATAAACTATATATGTAAGTTGGTTTCACATACAAATAAAAGCCAATTTCAACAAAGAAATGCCATTAAAACGTATGAAAAGTAAACACCTGTAGACAGCAAGTAGTTGCTGACTGACTTAGTCACTCTGGCCGTACGTCCATCCGTCCGTCCCAGTGGCTGTAGGCCAAAAACAATGTAAGCCACAGTCAGCCAACACAACAACAAGGCACAGTGCAAAAGTAATCCCTGGAGGCCGATAGCCGCCAACGCAAAAGCTGTTGCTGTTGTTGCTGTTGCTGTTGCTGTTGTTGTTGCTGCCTTTTAGCCAATTTTGATATAACTGAAAGCGTCAATTATACGTGAAATTTATGATGCCGTGTGAAGAATAACACCAACTTGCAACATATTTGGACAGCGTGTTGCTGTCGCTGTCGCTGCTGCTGTTGCTGTTGCTGTCGGTGTCGGTGTCGCCGTTGCCCCGTTGGACAATTGTCGCTCGGGGATTTCGTAGATATGCTGTTGATAATGGGCATTGTGGTGCACTTTTTCTCATTGTCGACTCTCGACTGCAAAAGATGACAAAGGTACCAATGCGAATGCGACGGCGGCAGCGGCTGCTAGCTTTTTAAGTTGTTGTTGCTGTTGGTACGCCCACTAGCAACAACAACAACAACAACAGCAAGCAGCAAGCAGCAATAACAGCAGCAGCAGCAGCAGATGCGGCAGCAACGGCAACTGGCTAGGCCAATGGCTAGAGAAGACATTTTGGGCACACACCAAGTCAATTTGTTTTATCTATTGTCGAACAAGAGTCATGTCACAACGGCACAATGAGATTTAGTGTGTGTTGTTGGTGTTGCTGTTGCCGTTGCCGTTGCCGTTGCAGTGCCTAGTTGCAGCAACAATGGTGCGGCAGAGCAAATCAGCGACATGATTCGATATTTAGATATGCGCGCTAAGAAATATGAGCCGCTAACAACACGGCAACAGCAACAGCAACAGCAACAACAATAGCAATAACAACAAAAGATGCTGCCGCGTTGTTGTCTGCTGTCTGCATGTAATTGCCAAGTTTGTTGCTTAAGTCTTTTGTTTTGGACAACGACAACAACAGCAACAACAACAATAACAACAACAACAGCTACAACAAGCAGGCATATCGATAGCCCAAAGAGTTGCATTTAAATTTGATTTATACACACTCGAGCCGCATATAATTGGGCAGAGTCGCGCCGCACTGTCTGTGCGGTAAGTCTGCACTAATAATTGGCCCCCAAAAATGGGCAGCTCGGATCATATTTATTGTGGGCAGAGGCAGAGCTTGTGCACATACAGCTGCCGTATAGTGGTCCAACATCTTTTTTACTGTTATTCCAGGTGTTAATTGTACGCCTGGAGCAGCGCAAGTGAAACGTGTCCCCGGGACGTGCGCTGGCCACGATCTGGCCATAAAACGCTAATGAAACGCTTGGGCCAATTGCAGAGGCTGCCGTGCGGCATTTTAACTAGATCTAGAGCAGGCGCGGCAAGCGTTTATAAACATAATTAAGTTGAAATCATAAAAAAGCGCCTCCAGACACATACACGCATGCGTGTAGGCAGCAGCAACAGCAGCAGCAAGAGCAACATCAATAGTCGACGCAGCCGACGCAGCCGAACGCCAACGACTTCCACTTCGGAACGGGGCAACTCCGTTTAACAAGTCAGTCGCGCAGACCGCAGGCAATGCTCGGGCGACCAATCAGCGGCTGGCTAAAGAGCACCGAGCGAAGAGAGAAACCGGTTGACACGCTAAGAGAGCGCGCGCGCCGAGCTGACAAAGCTCGGAGTGAACGTGCCCAGCGGCAATGCCAGACGCCGTCAGCAGTAGTTCCCAATCAGTCGCAACTTGACGCCTGAAGCGCACGCAAGCAGCGAGCGGAAGTCTACGTCGTCTACGTACAAGACAAGATCTCGATATCGAACTCGAATTCGAGCTCGAACAGTGGCCAGCTTTGGCGTACGCCGGTTCGTAAATATCAGTGCTGCTGCAGCTAGTGGTGGTTGGGCTGCCGAACTGCTGCCGCTGCTAGTTACTCTCTTAGCAAACGCTCTCGCGTGAGTTGCTCCGCCCCGTGTGGTGGCTGCTGCTGTGGCTGCTGCTGTTGCTACTGCTGCAGGCTAACCGAACGCCGCAGGACACGCTTAATAGCAACGTATTTAGTCGACCGTCGTGCTTCGAGCAGTAAAGAGCACTTTTGCAGCGGTGCAAACGGTAAACCCTAAATGCCAATTGGATTATGTGTGCGTGCAATTGGGACTGTGTGTCTGTGTGTTTGTGTGTGATCAACAACAACAACAGCAACAACAATGATAATCAATGAAAATGATGTGAAAGTGTTAAATGTGTTACAATTAAATTGAATTGCTTGCTGATTACAACAAATGATGGCAAAGCAGAAATCCAACAAGTAATCATCACAATAACAATAGCAACAAATACAATAATAACAACAAAAAAGGCACAATTGACAGCCTCTGTGTGTGTGTGTGCATGTGTACTTCATATAAATTTATTTTTATTTTTTTTCAACTGTCGATTTAACTTAACATAAATCAAAGCTTCGAAAGTCTTCGGCTCAGCGTGTGATTCTCAGTGCGAAATAAATATTATAACGGAAATAGCGCTCAATTACTCGTACAATACGCATACGAACTACATATGGACATACATACACACGCTCACAAACATACATACAATAAATTTGTTAATAAAAGCACTAAAGTAAAAGTGCAAACAATGCGAATGGGAATGCGAATGCGAATGCGAATGTGTTCCTTGCCCTCCGTCAGAGTCCACAATAGCCGCAAACGCAACGGTTTCATTGATAACGCAGACTCAGAGCTACACACACACACACAAGCACACACACACTCGCGCACACACAAAGACACGCACCCGCGCACCCGCAAAGGCAAACGAAGTGGAATCGAAACACGAGTGAAAGAAAGCAAATAGAAGCACAATAAATAACTACGAATACACAGAAACATACATAGCTGCACATAGGATGTGTAAATAGCGCATAATGCACGATAACAACAACAATTCCACTATGCGAGTGATAATACAGAGAGGCAGAAAGTGAGAGAGACAGAGAGTCAGAGTGGGAGAGAACAGAACGGGGGCAATGCTTGCATTTGGATGAGCTTACCATGAGCAAGAGAGCAGGCAGCCAGAGGGCGAAACAGAACGTGCCAGAGCTTTCATAACTGTAACTAAGTACTATGCCAGGCGCTGCTTATATAATGAGCTGATAGCAAACATTCGCAGCGGCAATCAGCTGAACTACTATAGTATAAGAGAGCAGTTGTCATGTGCACTGCTATGCTTATACTGTCTTCTAAATTCGTTTCCCTTTAAAGCTTCAAATTGAGTTTTTACGACTAGTATTTGAGTCTTTAGTTTTCAGTTCATTTCCATAAAATTGCATACTCTATGTTTCAGTTGTCATATTTGATTTCCCTCTCATTGCAACTTCAATTGCGCCAATTGCCAAGTGCACCCTTTGGTCCACTTCCGGTCGTGCCTGCTGCCTGGCTGGCTGCCGATGCAGCTCTCACACAGCGGCCTCTATGCACAAATTCGACTCAAAGTCAACGACTTCCGTTCGCCGAGGGCAGGGCGAGAGGCGAGAGGGCGAGAGGGCAAGGAGCGGCATATGGAAGCGTAGCAAATTACTTAATTAAATGGACAATTAACACCCGATCAACATCGTGTGCTTGCCGCTGGAACGGGGGGAAATGGCACAGGCCAAGTCAAGAGGCAGCCCAAACAGAGGCGGGGGCAGCAACAGGGGGCAGCGTGAGTAATGTGGGCAAGAGCTAAAATATCTGTAAATTAATATGCGCACAAGATGCAAATTGCTTGTGGCCAAAGACACCGCAACAACAGTAGCAGCAACAGCATCAACTTGCAACTTGCAACTGCAACAGCAGCAGCAGCGGCAGCGGCAGCAGCAGAAACAGTGTTAAATTAACATAAATTGAATTGCATTTGCATTTGCTGCACGTTGAGCCGCTTTGCGGTTGTTGCGGTTGTGCAGGCAAAAGCAACTGTTGCTGCCAGCACTTGTTGCAGCAGCAGCAGCAGCAGCAGCATCCACAGCAGCAACAACAACAAATGCGTGTCAATTAGCGTTGATGATGCGTGCTTAAAAGCAATGAGAAATGGATTTTACAGGCACTTGCCACAGGCAGTAGTGTTTCGATTCCATTTTGTTTGACAATTGCCTTAACAACAGCAACAACAACAGTAACAGCAACAGCAACAGCAACAATACTAATAGCAATATCAATAACAACAGCAGCAACAATAACAACGTCATATCAAGTGGAAGTGTAAAGTGTACAGAAAACGAATGAGAGTTAAATCAAAAATATATGCAAAGCACAACAGCAACAACTGCTGTAATAATAATAAAAGTTCGTGATAACAACATTAACAACAAAACGAAACGAAACAAAAAATGCGCTGACACAGCGACAACAATACGCAAATAGTTGTTTATATCCAGAATACATACATATGTATATACATATATATATATATACAACAACATAGTTATCTGGGCAATGGGCTAATTAATGGTCAATCTGAGTGCGTTACTTGTGCCAAAAAGTTGTGCTTAAACAGCATCAACAACAACATAAACAACTACAACAATTATAATAACAAACAACCAGCAGCAAGGAACTAAACTGCGAGCCAGCATCGTCTGCAGCAGCAGGCGGCAAACACGTTCAAAAACGCGCACAGAATGTACAAAATGTTTAGAAAACATTTTCGCCGAAAATCAACAACGACAACAACGACAACAACAACTGCGACAGAACCAGCAGCAACAACAACAACAATATCGACAGCAACAACAACAACAGCGAGAGAATCAACAATGTCTGCAGCGAGGCAAAGGCAACGGCAACGGCTGCGTTCGCTGATCGACGATTGCCGATCATTAAAGTCTGCCTGCAACTTAATTGCTTTAATTTTAATATTGTTAGTCCATAAGGTAAGCAAAGCCCCTACCCAACAACAACCCCTGCAAAAAGCGTTCACATGCAAAAAACACACACAGAAAAAGAACCAGAAATAAAGAAATAAAGAGTAAAACAAAAATTTAGTTTAAATATGCGGGTGTTGCTGTGCCCCAATGTTGATTTCTCGTTAGCCAAATTGAAGTTGATTCAACTTTTGGCTCAAATTGCGCCCAAGGCAATAAGAAGATGTGTGTATATGTATGTGTGTGTGTGTGCTGGCTGTGTGGGAACTGATCGATGAGGGTGCTGAAGAATAGTAGAATTGCAAATCTGACAAAGCGACGAAACGAACTAACTGCTATTGTCATGATATATGTATGTATGTAGTATCAGCCATAATCAGAATGTAGAATATACCCAAGAGCTATCTCACTCTGATAAGCATGACATAGTTTATAGTGGCAGATCATCTAATCAACTCGTAAATAGCATAAGGTTGAAGCCATTCACAAACTTGGCTTAGCTCAGAGTCTTCATCAAATTCGAATCGAATGAATGGCCAAGAATAGAGTATGTTTATTTTCATGTTTATCTTTAGATAAAAAAATTCTTTTTTCATCAGATAGTTTACTTATATCACTTCCAAGTTCAATAACCCAAAAAACAGTTTATTAAATTAAAAAAAAAAAATACCGAAACTGTCCTAAAGCTCTCTTTCTCTCTCTCTCTCTATTTCTTTACCCTATATATGCATACGTAGTTTCTGTTTACTCCATTTGCATTTCCATATACAGATTTTATTTTGTGTTTATTCACCACTTCGCAGTCAGCTCCATAAAACTAATTAAATTTTATCTAGAATTAGTTTTATTGCTTTTACTACTGCTCTAAAGCCATCAAAGCTTAATTCAATCAGACTGAGAAATTGTTGCTGTAGAGCAATATAAGAGGGACTACTCCATTTCAATATAAATTGAAATGTAATACAGGGAACGCGCACGATATTTATCAGCAATGAGTAATGATTGTAAGCCTGGATTTACATTACCTTTTCTCGCTTGGGTATTTATGATACTCGGAACTATTTAGGCAAAAAGTAACATGTATCTATCAAAGCATCAAAGCATCGCTGGGTACTCGAAAATGTGTTGGCCTTGCCGCTGGTCCAGCTGGTTCCCACAGCAATCGCAGCATCCGCAGCGGCAGCCTCAGCAGCGGCAACGGTAGTCGTTGCCCACCAAATTTTTATTTAGGGGCGTAGACATCATAAAGTGTTATACAAAGTGCCTAAACATGTATTGAGATGCCAGCGCAGATGCCTGCGAGGCAATTAAACAGAACGAACGGTCCGAAGATACATAAAATTAATCGCGTTGCCTGCGATCAAGAATATATATGTATGTACATATACATATATGTATATGCTATGTTTGTATATACATACATAAAGACAAACAACAATTTGATTAATACGCGACCAGCCGCAGCTTCAGCCATTAGAATGCCCAGGCCTAATCCACAACACAGGGCTATCAAATTGATTATACACATTTATCTGAGTCTCCAACAACAGCAACAGCAACAGCAACAGCAACAGCAGCAGCAGCAGCAGCAGCTCTGAGTGCATTGATTTCGGTTAAGACTGGCGATAAAAGTCGTCGTCAGATGAGAAATGGCCCTCTAAATGGACATGGTTTAACTCAACATTGTTATGCCCGTTCAGAAACTTAAAAGAGTCTATTCGATTTTTTGTAATGCTCGCATAATTAGTTATGAATACTTCTTAATAATATAAATAATGTTTTAAAGTCTTTGACTACGATAATTTTAGGACATGAATGAATACAAGATTTGTATATACATATATTGTAGGATCAAATATAGTTATATTTCTTATGGCGGATAGTAAGATAAGGAATGAGATTGTTTTGCAATTGCTGATATGGAAACATAAAGACAAGCACATTTAGGGATAATATAATAACATCTGATCTATCAAAAATATATATAAATGAAAAACCAGAAAAATTCATTCATTATTATAGATTCAAGTTTCCCTAAAAACTGGATATCTCATGAATTTCGCCCGTTCCGAGCGAGTATTATCTAGTCAATGCTTACCGCCTTTACTATTTAGTAATTAATTAAGCAATGGAAAAGTGAAATATTTTGTAGCTGGGCTTAGTCGGTCGCTTCCAGGAAATGAGAGTTGGCTGCAGTGATTGCGGCTCAGCGAGTGTCACTGATCCGTGATCCGTGATCACTGATCAGTGATCATGGGGCGTATTAACCCAGTTATAAGCGTACAGGAATCGGCTTGTACCGCCGAGCTAAAGTCGCCACATAAGGCCTGACATTTATTGATCATAAGCTGCGTATTAAACTGGCAGTCGGCGGCAACTGTTGAAGATATTCATAAAGATATATGTATATGTATATACGAGTGTATATATAGGTGTTTTCGCCTTCTTCTTGCCATTCGAAAGTCCCACAAAATGAGTTGGCGAATTGAGCATTCAGCTCCCACGATCGTTTTGTTTGTACAACTTGTTGTTGTTGTTGTTGTTGTCACTGCTGCTGTTGTTGTTGTTTATCGCAACGCTTAAGGCATTAACAAAACGTTCCGCACTGCAGTCGCTGGGCTCATTAGGGCGAAAATTATTGTTACAGGCGCCAGTTGATGAAAATATAATTACGTGATCTTCAAAATGGAATATCGCATGAATTTGTGTATTTAACTTCATTAAACAGATGCATTAAACTTAATATGTTTATAAATTTAGCACAAGGCTTCAACTGCAGGCCAAAAAGACTTAATTATTGGGGGTATTACATGAGATTTGTAACGTTTAATGAGTGAATTTTGTTGTTGGTCTATTGCTATAATACTTAGCTAGCTTTCTTATTTCAGTCGATTGTATACACATAGCATAAATTATGTTTGTATTTATTCCTCTTTTATAAAATATTTTCATTAATCTGGTAACTCCCTTTATGCATACTATCTGTACTTACTCTACAATGTCTGTATGAGTCATATTCCAAGATTCTTGGGCCGAAATACTATATAGGAATAGGTAGTAGAAGAAGAAAATTGTATAAGTTTCAGATGCTCTATAGTAAATTTATAATTTTATAAATAGAATTTTTGGACCTATTATAATATACATTATAATATGATATATATTAAAGTAAAACCAATATAACTAAGCAATGAGAGGTCGATCGCATTCCACTCTACCTATTGAGCTTCTATTTATAGTGACTTTTTCATATTTCATACAATTTCCTTAGATTTATATTTATTTGTTGAATCAATTGTGAGACCTTTTTCTGATATTTGGCGCCGCATTACGAATCGTTTGAGGCATTTCATGGGCATTATCTAATCGAATTGATTACGTGAAAAGTTTGTATCGAATATTAGCGCTTGATTGCGAGAATCAGAAATTGTGGCAGCTGTGGCAGCTGCACTTGCCGCGTCTGTGGCATGAATGAAAATGCAGGCTCTACAGTGAGCAAGAGAAGCAGAGAGATGCAGAGAGGGAGAGAAATGTGATAAATAAATAAGTAAGCAGGCAAACCGGTTCACAGCACAGATCCGATCAAGAATCCAATCAACTTGCCGCTTGGGCACTGACCAAATGCTTGCAGCACAATGCGGCAAACAAAAGGCACAACTGAGATCCGATGGCTGAGAACTCAGCCAAGACTGTGGCAAGTGGCAAGCATTGACTGTGCATTGATTGATCTATGGGTTGATCAACAATGCGCGTTCGCCTGCTCCGACAACTTCAACTTGAATAACAACAACAACAACAACAACGACAACCAACTCTCAAGTGCAACTTAAAGATTCTTCTTTTTGTTCAATATGTGCCGCACAGGTGCACATGGCCAAGAAGTGCGTCCGTCCAAACGGGCCAACTGCCGTTAGCCCGGTGCCAGAGCACAGACTGCGACAGAGGACAGCGACAGAGCCCGAGCTAAATTGCAATTTATTTCTAATAAACTTATCAACGCTGCCAGCTACCAAGTGCGAGGCGCACGAAGCCCAACAATAAATTTCGTGAAATATGAAACCATAAAAGTTGCCAACTAAAAACTTTTCATTAGCATATTTTTCGCTCGGACTTTGTAATGAACCCTAAACTACAAACTTGATGGCCATGGTCGCGCAAGAAGACAGAGACAGAGAGAGAGAGACAGAGACAGAGAGAGGGAGAGAGAGACAGAGACAGCGAGAGAGGTAGTGCATGGGAGAGTGAGAGGAAGTCTTAAATTATGAGCAAATATTATGTGGAAATAGATAAATATTATGTGCAATTTCTCGGCCGATCTAATGCGTTATTAATTTTATGGCAAATGCGCTTATCGATAGGCTTTTGATTTGC